GTTCGTGTGGAGCCAGGTATGTCGGCCGTACCCAGCGTTCGCTATCCAAACGTATCACCGAACACTTACCAACATGGTTTTGCGAAGGAGAAAAACGATGCCTCTGCAGCTCTATCTAAGAACATCTGATAAATTCTGGACACCAAGCTACACCCCAAACAAACTTCAAAGTCGTCCACAAAACATGAAGCAGTCTTCCTAAAAGTGCACGAGTCAGACTTCTTCAAACTGCAGAAGCAATGGCAATTCATTTGCTGAGTCCTGAACTCTGCATACAGAAGAAGTTCATTCAATCACTACACTTCCAATGGACGTAATCTATTCTAATACCTGACAGGTAAATTCTATTTCTCTCTGCCTCTTCATTTGTATTATTTTGTCTTTTCAATCGTAATATTTTAGATTTTCAACTTCCTGTCGTGTTCTCTACACCACCTGATTTAATTTCTACTCCTCATTACCACTGTTACTGACTTGACCAAAGCTAAATTTCTAGTCATTTATGTTACGTCATCCAATTTATTTGCTCTATTTTAATCCTAATTTAAGCGGCATTATTCTATACCCACCTCTACTTAGTCTCTAGCTGTAATTACCTACGTTGCTATCCTGACCTAAGTTGAAACATTTTAGTCAATTATATTAAATAATCTAACTTGTTAGGCCAATCTTACTTTAGCTTCTGTCTGATTAACCTTGTTTCTATATTAGATCAATCTTGTATTACCTAATTAAGTATTTAAACTTGACAAACCTCATGTACACACATACACACAAACAATCACATATAAATGCGATTATACAGCTATGTGAATTAATTCACTTAAAAGAGTCTCTTCTCTGAACGTCTTCTCTTTTTCATAGGTCACTAAATTCTCACCAACTAAAAGAAATCACCCCTTTTCAAAACTAAGTACTGTAAAGATCTACCGCTATCGTCAAAGTTGGGAAGTACACTTGATACAAACAGATAATGTGATCAAAAATTAATACGAAAAAAGTCAAAATACCAAAAAAAATGTTCGAGAAAAATTGAAACTAAAACCCAAGAAAGAGTGAAGAAATTAGCTTTCCTGACTATCTCATCATATCAACTTATAGTTACCAGTTTTAATAATATACTCTAAAACTATGAAACTCAAAGTATACAACTTCTAAAACCAACAACAACAGATATCATATACTACTGTCAAGTATTTCAGTAAATAAAATCAAACAGTAGTTTATCGTGAGGTATAAAGTTAATACGATTACTTCAGAACACAGTAGGTATAATTTAAGCTGCGCATACAATTTATTCAACGCTTCAAAATATCAAGCAAAGAGTAAACATTCAACTAGAAATTAGGTTGACAATATTAATCACACAACATTGTGCACAATCGAAATATGGAGCTAACTTATAAGCCTATAACTGTATTTTTGTTCGAAACCAAGTAAGATGATTTAAGTTTCTTCAGTAGGGACCTTGAGATCCCGAGAATCCTCCCTCGTTATTCCTTTGCGTTTCGAGTGGAACATACGGTTTCGAGCTCAGTAGAAGTGGTATTTGATTTTTTTTTCCACGGGGTTGGGTTGCTAGTCTCACTTCCATCCTTCCCTCTTCACTGGGTTTATTACTGGCTAACTGAGGTTTAAGAATCTGTCAGCTGGGAATCGAATCCCGCATCATGTGTGCTGTCATCTTAGGAATTCGGCATACGTACATCGATCTCCATCTAACTATTCGCTTCCTCTCACTCCTATTTATTCATGATACTATACTACGTTATTCCTACCATTTTCTCTTTTTTGTGATGTATTTCTAAATGAAGTGAACTAATTAACTTTTGTATAGAGTACTGCGTTGATTTATTAGTCACAGTTGTTAATCGGTCAGTTTGTTTTATGCACACATAGAAAATTAAAATAAGACAAAAAGATGACATGACTTTTTAATTTTCTCTTAATAAGTCAGTCAAGAAATAAGGATTATTACTGCTCAATTATTTTACACAATAAATACACCAGGTAGCACAACATGATAACTGTGACTTTAGTTCAATTTGATACAGTTTATATTGAAAGAGAGATTATTGTTTTAAGTCAGTCATATTAAATAGTAATATCACCAGCTGCCTTCTGTCTGTCTGTTTTCGACATAGAACTTTGCACAAATGTGCGGAAGTTCAAGTCGCCACATTCCGTGTAGCACGCGAAGCAAGAGAAGAAAGTACAAGAAGGCAAAATAGAGACAGTGAGCAGAGGTGTGAGACAAAGGAGGAGTAATAACGCAGAACAAAACAGTCTCATTGGAAATCATAAGTCACAAGGAGTGGATGCATCTGCTCCACTGAGAACGATTTTGAGCCATGTCACCAATTGTTTACAACCATAGATTTTTACCGTCCCGAGGACCCCAGCCTGGAAGTCTACACCTTCCTACGTGGCTTAGACCAACTGTTGTTGATTTCATTGACTGGTGCCAAGTTTTTGTTTGGCCGCCGCTAGCTTTTTTCCAGCCTGGCCCTACATCCGCTAACATTGCTCGTCGAGGAAGGCGATGACTAGGAATACGTAACACATGTCCTAACCATCTCAGTCTTTGTAATTTCACGACTTCGTCGATTGATTTTCCCTGTTTACCTAGAACTCGACGCCTAACTTCAATGTTGCTCACCTTATTATGCCACTTTACACGGGAAATAGAGCGCAACCAGCTGCCTTCGCTTTATATCGAAGATCAAATGGCCAGGCCAGATAGGATCAGCAACAAAGAACTCAGGCAACCAGCCAACTAAGCAAAAAGAAATGGAAACAGACTCGACATACAGTGAGATAAGCGTTGGGTGACATCATGGTCAAGAACCTTCATGTGAAACCCCAATAAAAAAAGACAAGTTGGGCATCCGAGGGTGACATAGAAAATGAAAGCTTACTGGTAATTGTGGAGCCAGCTAATAAAGACTGCAGAGAACAAGATGAAAGAGAAACGTACTAAAGAAGCCCTATATTCCATACAGAGCCCCCAGAAACGACCCGGTACAGCCGAGAGCGGGTAGACTTTGGTCTTCCTCTCGAAATGCTCTCATGTGACCACGCGTTCATTCCCTACTTCTACACGTAAGTCCTATCCACTGCTTTCACACGACAACGGTGTTCCTCACAAAAGTGGAAGGGCGAACTAGAAACTCTGTCACTTACAACCGGATCGGTAAACATGAAGAGATGGACAATCCAAATTCATGGTGCATATAGACTGCAGAATTCGACTGAGTCGAATGGCGTATGAGCTCGTTTGGGTCACTGGAAACCATAGGAAAGCGGTTCCTGACGCTGCTCCACCACCTTGTGGGTAAGATTATGATATGTATCCATATATATATATATATATATATATATATATGTGTGTGTGTATGGTGATATCTCTTTCTGTTGCTCGCTTAGTCTGTGACCATTTCACTTTGATGAACCTGTCTCCTTTAACAATGTATATTCCCCTTATATTATATATAATATGAGTGTTTGTTGACAGTCCGTTGCTTGGTGACATATATCCATATTCTGTGTGGTTGTTGACATGTCTGCTATATTTTGCTATGTATATATGGATCGATACTTCATTATAATTAGCCATTCATGTTAAGACTGTCTATTGATTTGTTCACACACTTGTCTGGACATTCATATATATTTCGCTCACACAATCTTGTGTGTCTACTTATTTTTGGTGTGATACCACTTATTGCTTCACCTTGTGTTTGGAAAATAGAAGTATCATCGAAAACCTAGTGGTCTTCTGATTTCCGTCTTTCTTGCGCCAGGACTATTAAATTCTCGACTAGTACATAGCAATAATTTGGCGACGAGTATATAACAGATTACAAGTCAAAGGCTCGGGATATGGCCCCTTAAGATAACCGCCGGCTTCGGCGTGAGCTCCGGAGAAGTATCCCAGTCCTCGCACAGCTTATGACAGTTTGTGTGGTGCGTTCCCTGGTGCCCATAATGTACAAATTTTGGGTCTTACTAATAAAAAGTAGTTGGAATTGCGGAATTTGAATTAAGGATCTTCCAGTTACAAGGCGATCTCACAGACTATTCAGCCACTGGGACCAGATCCAACAGCCAACCTATGAATTCAAAATTCTACTAATTCGCGATAAGCATAGCATATAGCGCCAGCCAGTGTCATAAACGTCAAATGTACTGATTAAAATAATAAGGCGATTATTACTATTATTATAAACAAAGATTTCGGTGTATTTCAATGCTTTATAACTTCAGTAAAGTCACAAAGAGTTTTAGTCAGTGTTGCTTAAACAGAAAGTCACAAAATACGTCCAATAGTTTAAATAAGAAAAGCATAATCCAGTTAAGAGAATTTTTCCTATTTATTGCTTTTGCTTCACGTGTATAACTGGTACACACACCAGACTGACTATCATTATATTCCTTCACGTTCCCTAGTGGAACATAGGGCTTCAAGCTAGAGGCTTAATGTTTCGGTAGCAGTGGTGTTTATTTTTTTTTAACGGCATAGGGTTGCTAGCCTCATGCCCAACCTCCCCTCCTACCAGTCTTATTACTGGCTTAGCAAGGTAAGGGAATGAGTCGGTGGGGGATTGAACTCCAAACCACCTGCGCGGTTGACAAGCATTCTACCGCTGTGCCACCGGCGAACAATTTCAACAGTAGATTTACGACCTTAACTCGGCTGACTGTCAACTTCCTCAAAAAGCAACTGACATAATTTTTGTTAGTGTTGTTATGCTATCTGAGCTAGACGGTTCAACTACTAACTTCATCTAAAAATGAACACAGTAAAACTAAAAATATCTACCTTAGGTACAAATCCTCTGCATCACTTTGCAAGATACCTTGACTAACATCGTAAGATTGACGCATAAACATACAATAAGAAATAACTGCTACAAAAAAAGCTTGTTCTACAAGCGTTTCACTGATACAATGCGAATGGTGTCTATAAATCGAGAGAAAAAAACCCTTATTAAACATACCCATTTTTCAACTGAATAGAAAATTTTTTTATCGACGATGAGTTTTAACATGACGATGAAGATTACCCAGTTGAGCAAATGCTTTCAAACACTGTGGACACCTGTAGGGTTTTTCACCTGTATGCGTACGAATATGAGCTCGTAAATGATCTTTTTGTGGAAATGCTTTCGGACAATAACGACATGGATATGGTCGTTCACCAGTATGTGTACGTATATGAGCCTGGAGATTATCTTTTCTTTCACAAGATTTTGGACAATAAGGACATTGATGTCGGCGTCGTGAACAATAGGTGACTACAGTTTTAGACGATGTTACAACAGTTTGCATTAATGCTACTGTAGTAGTAGTAGTAGTAGTAGAACCAGTTACTGTCGTAGATGGAATGGAAGGTGTATTAGGCGAAGAATAAGAAGATATACGTCGACATTTCGACTCTTGTAGCTTGTTATTACTACTACTATTATTACTATTATTATTTGTTTGTGCTGTAACACTAGAGATTTGTGAATAATTACGCGAAGAAAGTAATTTATCCGCAGAAGGTAACACGATAACATTTGTTTTTATATCATTCAGTTGATTGTTTGATGATGTTAAAGTGGAAATGCCAACTTTACTGTTTACACAATCCTTGTTGCTGTTGTTGTTATTGTTATTAGGATTAATAGGCGATGATAATGCAGAGACTGGGGGAAGTAAACAATGATTAACACCAGTTGGACTAGAATTTACTGACTGATTCGATTTTGACGACGTATCTACACTAACGCTTGAATAGGAAATAGGCGGTGAAGGTAAAGAATTATTATCAAATGACATACACGAAGAGGAAGACATCGATGAGGATGATAATGTTGTTGCAGGAGATAGAAATGCATGCGTATTGAAACTTTGTGATGTTGTAAATACATTATTATTATTATTATTTGGTGAATGTGTATTCCACGATGAAGATGACAAAATCATAGTCTGTTGTGGAATATTAGGTAATAAAGTTAACGGTAGCGAAAAGGATGTATCATTTAAAGTATCTACTGATGATCGATAATTTAAAGTTGATAAACTTGTTTTAGTATTATTAGATGAAGTAATTCCAGTAGTAGAATTATTAACTATTAGCCTATTACTACTATCATCATGATTAGTGAAATTCGATACAGGAGTCCATGATAAGGTTGTTGTTTTTGCTGCTGCTGTGGATGGTGCTGGTACTCCTTCGGCTGCTGCTGCTGCTGCTGTTATAAAACCAGAAGAAGTTGTTGTTGAAAAATTATTCGATGTTAAAGGATTATTTGTACACAGTGGAAAAATATTTGATCTGGTAGAAGAAGCTGTTGGAAGAAAAACTAAATTCCCTGATTCTGAAGGATTTTTATGACTAGAAGGATTAGATAATATTACAGTTAAACCACCAGTGGATGAAGCAGATAAAGGAGTAAATGCTGCTGCTCCATTTACTGTATTTATAATCGATGATGATGTCGATGATGCAGGGGAAGAAGAAGACGACAACAACGACGATGATGATGATGATGATGAAGTAGGAGTAGGAGTAAAATATGCGGGATTAATAATATTTGATTTAGAGGCTGAGCGAAGGATAAAAAATTGTGTTCCAGACGGTAACTGTCCAGGGGTTGATTGTTTAATATCCACTTGAGATGTATTAAAACTATTTACTAATGTAGGTGAATTTTGTAAAGGAGATGATGATATACTTGAATTGGATAATAGTGGAGCAGTAGTGAATGTAGACGGGAGAAAATTAACATACTGTTGAGAGGGTAGTTGTAAAATCGGGAGATTAGAAACATTTCCATTAAGATTTGTAAGAATATTAGATGTTGGGAGAAGAAAAACTGTCCCATTTGTTTCCGGTGGTGTAATAGTACAACTCTTATCTGATAAAGTATTCATCGAGGCGAAATTTGGAAGACAAGGTGTGGGATTCTGTCGGACAGGATTTCCATTCTTAATATTGAGTAATATAGACATTCCAGGGTTTACAGTTGGCAAGGAGTTTAAGATTTGTAACGGTAAAAGGACACAACCAGAATTGCTAGTTAAGTTAGTCACCTGTGGCTGTGGAACTTCAACAGATGTTCTACTTTTAAGAGATAAAACAATTGGAGTAGTTGGCTGGAGTTCTGCATGGGAGACAACACCAGGAGTAACTGCATGAGAGACAACAAATGTAGATTGTGTGCTAACAGGATGCGGTGCAATCTGAAAAGTTGGAGTCGATAATATTAACGGACTCTGAGCAACACAACTTCCTTCTTTGGAACGATATGGAGTGCCAACTTCAATATAACTAGTATTACCTGTAGGACAAGAAACAGTAGACGCAAAAGGATGGTCATTGGAGGTCGTGATCAGAGATCTTATTTCAGATGAAACAATTAACTGTTTCACGCCTTTGTTGGGTTCACTAATTGACTCTTGTTCAATATTAGATGAAAGGTTTTGATCAAATGTAGACATGGATGAAATACTTCGAGATGGTGTAGCTGTTAATGATGTGTTTTGAGAGTTAGACCCAATTATAGTAGTAAAACTAAGATTTGGAATGACGGATGAATCACGAATATTTGATTGAGGGAGTGTTGTTTTTACTATTTGTTCAGAGTATTGTGTTGTTTCTCGATTGTAATTCTGCACAACGCTGAAATCAAGGCTTTCTGTTCGATCAGATTTCGATGGAAATATTAACTAAAATTTTGAAAAAGAATAACGTCAATTATATCATAGAGAAAGCAGAAAAATATGAGGGTTTTAGTTAACCCATATGAGGGTTCAATCCATATTAGAATTCACTACGAGCTTCAAAACACGAGTTTAAACCACACACTACTTGTAACCTTAAAACTTATTGTATGATGCACTCTATCTACAACATCCATGCACATAGGTGAAATATTTGACTTCATTAAAAATGCAAAAGCTTTTTTCTGAGTAACCAATGTGAACAAAATAACCACAAGCAACCCCCACCCCCGTAAAAAGCATGAATAACCTCAGGGAGGCCATAGTTAGCTTCCACATAAATAAAAACACACCTACTAAAGTAGAAAACTGGACGAAAATTCATTAATTTTAGGTGCTAATAATATCTGGAAAACACTAAACTAGAGTCTGACCTTGCCTAGTTAACTGGCTCGCTAGTTTCCTAGCCAGTCCCAAACCCAGGTAAAGAGGGAGGGTTGGGCGTGGGGCTAGCAACCCCACACCATTAAATCTTTCAAACCGCTAGAGAAACTTCAACACACAAAAAACATTAAAAATACAAGAACTTCAAATAACAACAATCTTATTCTTCGCTCGAATCGGAGAGGCAAAATGACACAGCGGGCTGGTGAAAGCCTTTGGTAAGCCAGTCAGCCAGCCGATGTGTCTTCTCTCTCTCTCTCGATGAAAGCAAGGGTAAGAATGAGTACGTGGAATGTCCGTACAATGTGCGGGACTGGGAAGGCCGTCCAGGTAGCCAAAGAGATACGAAGACATGCCTTAGAAATACTGGGTATCTGCGAAAGCAGATAAAATGGATGTGGATTGACAAAATTGTCATCGGGAGGGTTAATAATAATAATAACGGAAACCACGACCACAGAGGAAGTGGTTATCATGATGTCACCAGTGGCAGCTAGAGCTCTAATGCAGTAGGAACCAATTTCATCCAGGATCAACTCCAAAGGAAGAAAGGTAACAACTATCCCATGCTACGCGCAGTGCTAAAAACAACGCGGAACAAGAGAATGAGCATTTATACAGACAACCACAAATAGTAATGAACAACATCACAAATGGTGACATCAAAATGCTTATGACCGATAAGAATGCTGAACTGGGAGCAGATAATGCAAGAAGACAACTTATCATAGGTCGAGAGGCTGTCGATCTCAATTTCGCTCAAGGAAGTGGAGACCCAGTCTGTTGGATACAAAGTCGAGAAGGGGAGTAGATGTGGGCTCAGAACATTTTCTAGTTCACGGAACCTTCAAGGTAAAGCTGAAATCCATGAAAACAAATGGAGAAAGACCACTGTAATTTAAGTTCAACATTCAGAAACTGAATGACAAAACTACAAGCAATATCTTCGCCACATATTAGATCAGAGCAGAGCCAGACACTACTTGGCATCACTGAGGAAACCTGTGTGGAAGGACACTGAAACTCACTGGAAGCGATATTTAGGGAAGAAGGAAGAGACAAGACAAGGAATGGCTGTCAACAGATACCTGGAAGCTAATCGAGGAGAGGAAGATGGTGAAAGAGATGACTCAATGCAAAGATGGAAAACAGAAGGAGAAGATGGCTTCAGTGTACACTGCACTAATAAAGTGAAGAAAAGTGCTCGGAAAGACAAACGACAATTCTACGACACACTGGCTTACAACTGAAGCAAAACAGGCTGCAGGCAAAAGAGACATCAGGAAACTACATCAGATAACCAAGTCCATATCCGGGAAGAGATCGCCTCAGATGATGAAAGCAATCAAAGATGCTCAAGGGAAACTGATCACCAAGGAGGAGAAACAAATCAAACAATGGGCTGATCACTTTAAAGGACTCTTGAATCGACCACCTCCGGCAACTCGCCCAGAAATACCAACAACAACAACAGCACACACGGAAATGCCTGTCCTCCAACGAAAGAAATCCTGAATGCGATCAAGCTATTGCACACCGGTCGGAAAGGCAGCAGGAACAGACAGAATTCCCCTCAAAGCACTGAAAACGAAACCAGAAACCGCCGCAGACGTGCTCATGCCATTATTGCAAAAGGTTTGGAAGGAAGGAAATGTACCTACCAACTGGAAGAAACGCTGTCAAAGAGGGGCGACTCGTGCCTTTGCGAGAACTGGTGTGTAATAATGCTCTTGTCCACGCCAAGTAAAATACTAAGTCGCATCATCCTGGAGAGAATAAAGGATGCACTGAATACACAACCTGCCACGGAACAAGCTGGATTCTGGAAAGGCAAATCTTGTACTGATCAAATTGCAACTCTACGCTTCGTCATCACAGAACAAAGCATACAATGGCAATCAAACCTCTCCCTACCCCAACTTCATTGACTTAGGAAAAGCCTTCGACAGCGTAGACCGAGATGTAATTTGGAAACTACTTCAACACTACGGCGTACCCCAAGTCCTCGTCAATCTCATCAAACAGCTATATGACAAAGCCACATGTCCACTGATCCACAATGGAAAACTCAATCAGCAAGGCGTTCGAAGTGCATATAGGAGATAGACAAGACTACATATTATTAGCGATGATATTTTTAATTGTGGTGGACTGGATTATGCGTCAGACTGTGCTTTGGGAGCGAGGAGAGAAGAGTACGCTAGACCACCAATGAGAAGGCTCTAGAAGATCTGGATTTGGCAGATGATATATGTTTACTGTCACACAAACTCGAAGACTTGCAAGCGAAAACCAACAAAATGGTTGAAGAGGGAGGCAACGAAGGCAGAACTCCAGGTGAACACAGAGAATACAGAGGTGATGAAAATAACCAATCAACAGTAACAACAACCAGCACCAATCACCATTAACAGGACAGCTTTAACAGAGGTTGCGTCCTTTACTTATCTGACCAGAAAACATCATTTCAACTATAGACGGAACGGACGAAGATGTGAAAGTCGGAATCGGAAAAGCAAGATACGCCTTCATCAATCGGGCATACATTGAGCAGACCGTAGAATGACATCGCACGCCAAGCCCTCGAGTAGAAGCCAAACAAGAAGTGACGATTGGGTTGTCCTCGGGTGACATGGAGGAGATAGTGTGAGGAAGAGATGAAACAGTTTGGTCAATCATGGGCCCAGCTGAAGAAGACACCAGAAAACAGAACAAAGTGGAGATGTGTTGTTGAAGCTCTATGTTCCACTCGGAACGCAAGTGAATAATAAAATTTAAAAAAATATTACTAAACTACAATCTACAATATGCTATACATCTCAGATAGAGTCAGAGTTTTTTAGAGGCTAGTATCTTGTCTTCGACTGATTAACTATAAGCATTTCTCAATCTATTCTCATACATAAAAGACAATCAACGCAAAAAGTATTGCACCGTCATTGGAGATAGACATCAGGAATATGAGAATATCGAGTAATTATCGATTACCCAAGTGATATATATCGCCACAGTTCCCTTTTACCTGGAGTGTGGAGGTGCAAGTCACCAATCTACGCATTAGACCTCCAACCAGTGGTTCACGAGTTCAAAAGTTACTCCACCTATTGAAATATCGGAGGCTCAGTAATACTGACTTATTACAACACGTGTGGCTCACTGCCAAATGCATTTAAGTGAAACAAGTTGTTGAGTAACATTTCGCATTTCATTTTTAGTCCATTAAATATTATGCTATAGATATACATTTTCACGAACATAACTTCCCACTCGAATAAATTTCTAATAATAGCGTTTCTGAAAAATTGCACAGAATTTTCCTAATTTCTTTCCCCAAATGTTAATTTGCAGGGATTTGATTGATTTCAACCCCGTTGACCATTTAGTCAAAGGATCATCTCGTAATAAGAAGGTTCTGGTTCCCATTCCGAATGGGATCATGTGTGCGTACAACGAAACATTTGTACATGACTCCCTGGTTTTCAGTGATTCTCTAAATTATCTAACTTGAAACGAACGTTATTCTATGTGAAAATTTTTACCATAAAAAACAGCAAGTTTTATAGAGAATTTGGATATCTAGTCGACTGACCATTAGTGACTAATACTCAAACCGACTTCCCGAGGTTTCGGTAGGAAGTTACGAAAGTCGTTAGTGGAGTTACCAAAATCTGGTGTATGGATATACGTTCAGCGACAACAATGAATGAGATCAGCGCAACATTTCACGTTGGAAACCACGTTCTCATCCCAAAACCTGAAATTACTGGACTTAATTCCTTAAAACTTTGTGAGACCTGAAGTAGTCAGAAACATCAGTTGAGTGTTCTTCAGTTTCGATACTACCTCATCTGATGACGATTTATAACAGAATTCAACCTCAAATCAGTCAAACTCTCATAGAATGAACATCTAGAAAAAGTGGTCGAAAACGCCAAATGGGCTACTGCCTCCACTTTTTACTTCTACCAGCTCAAATCGTAATAAATCTGTGGGGTTTATTTGAATACATTATTCGTGTTTAACACATTTGACTCTTTCTAGCAACAATAAATATGATAGTAAAACCAAATAACCGTCGCCAATATCTATAGCCAATCACCGTATTAAGCAATCCATTTCAGTAACTTACTTGTTTTCCTCCGTCATTATTCGAACATACTAAATTCACAAGGGCAGGAATTTTAGCTATATTGTTATATGTCCCATCAGATGTCGCTGCAGAAGAATCCGGCATTGACTTTGTAACAATACATTGGAAATTAGAAGCGTTTCTGACGCTCAGATTAGGACAATTCACCACATCTTTTAATATGAAATGATTCTGAATAGACGGCAGAGTAAACGATCCTATCTGATTTACACAGACAGAGCTTGTTGGTAGGGCTGTTGATGACAATGAAGGGATTTTGTGAGGACTACATACTGTGGTCGGTGGCAATATTTTATTTTCAGAAAATCCAGAGGTAGAAGAATGCATCACAGAATTAGAACAATTTTCCACTGTAGTTCGATTATCCGACTGGTATGTATAGGAAATGCTATCAGAAATGAAATTTGAAGAGTTGATGTGTGTTGTTGACAGTAATGGATCATGATTATTGGTATCATTGCGAGATATAAGCTCATCAGACAATGCACCATTGATCATAACACTCATTTTTGGAGAAAGAACGTGTTGTTTATTTACATCTTCCACTGTGCCTTCAGGAGTTTGGCTAAAATATGATTTCTCATAACTTGGATCTGATGAAATATCTATGTGATCAAAAGGTGAATGTGGACAACCTGAAGATTCTGGTGATAGTGTTGGTGGTTGTGCATTGTCTAGTAAATTAGAATGCCCTAGTGAAGGCGAACGAAGAATAGGTATACACAAAGAGGCTAGACGGGCTTCATGGTCTAAATCTTCAATATCCGAATCTCCTGCAGAAACAACATCTGTTAAATCACTCGGTATTTGGCGAGTAGATTCACTAACAAATTGAACAAGTTCACTTGGGACCAGATCAGTTTCCTCTTCATCAAGATTAGGAGGACAGTTACTGTAGACCGGTAAACAATCACTATCATCTACACACTGATCAAGTACTGAATTAGCTGTTGACAATGAAATGTTTGCTGAAGATGAACAGTCCAAGTTTAAAGGAATATATCTCAGTGACTGAAAGTCGGCGAATGCACCGGATATGGGACTAGATGGAAAATCACTTAAATCAATAATTGAAGAAGACAATGAGGTTTCAATCTGTGATGATTTTAGATAGAATTGCAGTTTCTTTGATGAATCTGAACCACTGTGACTAGGTGGGGCACTTGAACTGAAAACATCCTTGTTGGAAACTGACTCCTGACATGGGTCGACATGATTCCCAAATTTTGTAAGTGTGGCGGCCAAAATGGGAGAAGGATGGGGACGTGATGACAACTTGTCAAAAATCTCCTGCATCCCTGGGATAGCATTGTTGCTAGTTGTAGTTTCATTAGCCAAGGGTGCAGGTAATGGTGATAAATAAAAGTTAGACTCATCGCCTGTTTTAACCAAACTAAAATCCTGTGTTAAATTGATTGTTCCATTAACCATAAATGGCTGCAGCTTTAAAGATCCATGATTCATTGCCAACCTTGTTTGACTGCTCATGTCCTACAACACAAAATAATGGCAACATAGTAAGAGAAATCATAATTATGTGAGACATCATAAAGAGCTCAACTTCACACATTCTGGGAGAATGCACCTATTTCTAGCCGAAACTGGGAGTTTTTGTGGTGTAAACAGTTACCAACTTGATAAACATTCCTCTCAACAGTAAAAATCAGGTAAGATATATTAAATACATTGAAATGGTGTTTCACAAACATCCGAAGTTACCAAACGCAAAATGAATCGCGATAGCAAGAAAGGACGAAAATCAATGTTGCAAAGATGAAAAGTATCTTAAAATCCGATTACCGGTGATGGACAACATTATTTTCACCTACAGTCACTGAAAATCTCTCATAAATCCTAGGTCTCAGCTATCCATACACTGAAACCCATCTATAGATTGACTGACCCAGTACGGCCGAGAGCGAGTAGACTTCGGTCTTTCTCTCGAAATGCTCTCATGTGACCACGCGTTCATACCCTACCTCAACCTCTACACGTAAGTTCAATCCACTGCCTTCACACAACGGTGTTCCTCTTAAAAGTGGAAGGGCGAACTAGAAACTCTGTCACTTACAACCGAACTGGTAAACATGCTGGCCTACCTAGAAGAGTTGGAAAATTCTGATTCCATATCTACATCGGCTGCGGAATCCAACTGGATCAAATGGCGTACGAATTTGTTCCGACCACCTGAAATCACAGGGATGCAGCTCATGACATTGCTCCACTGCTTTGTAGATCAGACTTCAAGTCAAACACTGGTTGCGGATGGTTCCTTAAGACAACCACCTGCTTCGGTTAGAGCGTCCAGGCAATATCCCGGCCTTCGCAAAAACTATGTTATAATCTGTGGTGCCCATAATGTACCAAGTTTGTTTTTAATAACAATAATAATAAATCCATAGTTAGCCAGTTTCTGGTTTCATGGACTTCAATTGAAGTGTCATAGAAAGAACTAACTTAATCCCAGCAAAACAACACACATATGTATATAGTTAGCGCAAGTGGACCTCATATAACAATCATCAACAAATCATCGTTTTAGGAGACATGTTTCTGGTTAAGAATAACAGGCTGTCATGTATAAAGCTAAGCACACAGTTTTGAGGAGTAAAGGTAAAATAATCAAAGTTTCAGGGCTACACTGACAACTCTAAACATTTTTATGGATAACGAACCACAATTCACATCACGAAGTGCTGAGTAAGAGTCGCCTGAGAAGCATTTCACCGTAAAGAGGAGAATGTAGCGTCAATCAACAATGCCACTTCTCGTCGTATTCCAGCATAAACCGTTAGATTACGTAAAATAGGATGTTAAAAACAAAGGTATTTGAAAAGGATAAATAACATAGTTGAAGATCGATTGTAGCAAAACAAATTTAGGTGTGAACTTCTCTACCATCTTAAGTGGAAAAATACTATAGAAGGAACAACAAAGTTTTCGAAACTCGAAAACTAGTCACATGAGTTTTCTAAGTGGTGAGATATGCAAAATAGTTGACAGAACGAAGTAATCTGCTCTGATCTACAAAGATCCGATAGAGATTCCCTGTAAGGCAAGTGCTGGAACCTGAGACGCGTAACTTACACTAAAATGACCTCGAATATTTTAGAAGACATTTGTATAATTTCTTTATTGAAAAGTAAACATGGTCAATTTTCCCAACATTTTTCCTAATATCCATGGCTTAGTGCAGCAGTTATCCGGTACTCTTAACTAAGGGGTGATGTAACCACTTTTTCTTTATATTTTCTGACTGGGCCAAGCAATGCACCAGACTCAATGCTTTTAACTAATATCATACAACCACACTACTAAGACAATCTAAAACATAAGGTCCTGGTTGAGTAATTTAAGATCACAGATTACTCTCAATTTCCACTTATCAAATCAACACAGTTTGAAAAAGACGGAGGAAAAGAGAGATGAGGTGAATAAGCGTCTACACATATGTAACAGAATTACAGATTTTCACTTATTAAACTTCTGTCTGTCTGTCTGGATTCAACATAGAACTTGGCACCGAAGTGCAGCAGTTCGAGTTGCCACGTTCCAAATAGCACACAGAGGTAGACAAGAAGATGAGTGAAGAGAATTAATAGAGTTTGACAAATATAAGAGTGAAACAGAATGGGTAATGGTAGAAAGGAATATGAAAGATTACAGAGATTGAATACATCTGCGCCATTGACAACGATTTTGAGCCATGTCACCTATTGTCTCCAGCCATTGATTCCTAGAGTCGCGAGGGCCCCAACCCGGGAGTCTGCATCTCCCTACCTGACTCAGTTTAACTGTCAAGGATTTCATGGATTGATGCCATGTTTTTGTTTGGCCACCACTGGCTCTTTTCCAACCTGAACCTATATCAGCTAACAATGCCCGTCGGGGGAGGCGGTGGTTAGGCATGCGCACCACGTGACTTCACAGATACTTACTATTCAAGTGCATGAAGGTTGTTATAGCTGCTTTGTTTATGCAATTAAAACACTGACAAATGTAACCATGTGCCTAAAAACCACTGCCTCGGGTATCTTCTCAATCTAAAAATCTGCACATTCGCCCAGGCTTTAAACTGGAATAACATTTTGCTGTAAGATATAATTACACCTAAGCTTAGCAATGGATGTCAAATTAGAAGGAAAAGCCTGACAACTTTAGGTTTATTTCGACTGCACAGTAAACACTCCCAGCCAAGAACTTTTACATGAACACTCATAAAATGGAGGGAAACACAGATAGCATCCCACTGGAAAAGTATAATATTTCTGCGATTGACATATACACAATGATAGACGCACATTGATGTGAACTAGCTCGTAAACAACGTAGGAAAATAGGAAATTGTGGGAAATTACATCAATGAGAACATGATGAAACATGGGGGAATTGGTGAAAATGGAGTTTAGACGCTGTATTTCATTCGAACAAAACTATCCATTCATCTCGATTTTTAACCAGTTTCCTCATGTTCAAACTCCGAAAAAGACTCTCCGCATACAAGTCAAGTTATTTCACAAGTATCTGCCACTTGTCTACTATATGACATCTGCAGCAATCATGTCAACACTTAAACGAAGACTAGTAAAATGGTCAGGCAAATGTGATTCATCAATGAGATATTACTGCAAAGACGGCTATCATTCAGAATCGTGCAAGACGCAAAAGCGAATTCCGTGAACAAAATAAACAAGACAAACATTTTAAAAAAAATGAATGGGCTTGCGAAAGCCCATTAGAAACAGTAATGAAAAGATCATTCTTCAGAATACAACTAATGATATTCTACAAAATCAGACGTAAGTCTGTAACTTAATCCTAATAAACACTAAAATAAATACCAAATTTGACACATGCCTCAAAATTTTCAATGCACCTGTCCACCATAAACAAATTATTGGGCAAATAAGTTTAAAATCATTCATAACCATATTTAACGCACATGCAATAATGTCATAAATCGCCACAGGTAGATTGTCCAAAAGAAGAACCTCCCAGCTAAGTCCTCCCGATGATGTCATTTAAATCCAATAAAATCCGCTAAGATTTGAAGAAGTAAAACCAAGGAATGTCGAAAACCCAAAACATTATTCATTCCGCGCATCGGATCGCGCGCTGAATGGCAGATGTAAGTGGCATAGACTAACCATGAAATTGAAACCATAGTTTCGCTTTCCCGACATTTGAGGATTTGAGCCTATCTGCAAAAGATTTTAGAATAAAGTTGTATGTGCTAAGAATTGATAAGCCCCGTTTCGTGTGATTTACATTTTTCAGGATAAAATGGCGGAAACCACGAACCAGTTTATTTGTATTTATATAAAAAAATTTTATTGAAGCTTGGTTCCACACAGTATTTTCTGTTACTACCGTGGAATTTTCAGCATGTGAAATAAGTAGCCCAAATTTAGCAGGCCGACCAATAATATCAGGTGTGAGTCGGCCGGGGATCGAACCCCAGACTAAGCGCGTGTTCGGCAGGCGTCCTAACCGCTGTGCCACCGTCGTACAAAAGTACGAGGCCGCCTTTTACTGTTTTGACAACCGCAAACTCTTTTGTCACTGTTCGAGTGAACTGCAGGATAAGGCCATGTATCTTAAAACGAACTCGAAAAGTGGACTGTGGAAAATTACCTTTAAAGCCATCGTTGCATAGTATCAAGGGATAAACGAGTTTTGGGAGCTTTGCATGTCACAGGCTATAATTTGACCAAAGGAGTTCGTCTTCAGCTCCAAATGAAGGCATCGAAGCTTTATAAAATACTGAAAGATCATTGGTGGCATCAGCCCCTCGTTCTCTAGTGACAGAGGCTGCTGTACACACTAGTACTCACAGTGAGGGTAGCAAACGAACCATTGTGGCCTTACCATAGGTGGTTTACAACATACAAACTGAGTCAGAAAACCCTAAATAAAACATATATTTTACTGGGGATAGTAGTCTGAGGTCAGCTGCAATGCAAAAGTCAATGATATGTTCAGTCTCCCCCAACGGAAACCTGTAACGACGGAAGACCAGAGTGGCGAAGACACTTTAGTTTTATACATTTTTAACGTGCCAAGTGTCCACTATACCATCGGACAATAAACTCTTCTGGTTGTCTGGCGGTCGGCACAAGGTTAAACAAAGGGATGAAAAGTTTCCCAGTGAGGTTTCTCCAGGCCACAACGACAGCTAGATCCGGGTTAAAGAAACAAACACTTCTGCCCCCAAAGCCATTACCTTAATATGCCGATTTCAACTTTGACTGCCTCTAATCAATCTATACCTACATAGCGCAGGCCACAAACCTCCATGGTCAAGATCACAAACTGCTCACGATTACCCAAAGACGGTTATATATTTTTCAGTCTCGGATCTTCCATCAATCAAAAACATTTTGAACTTCACGAGTCCATTCTTGCCTGTGATACATTAATGCCGCCAGTGGAGAATCAGTGTGTCAGCTTATGGTGTGCGAAACAGGTTGGTGCAGTTGAACTCGCCTTCACGAAGGTCGTGGAAACTTTTACGAATGCTACCGCGTTCATCCATCACGACTTAAGGTCTCCGTTGAACGTACCTGCCGGTGTAAGTGACGCTACAGTTTCTTTACAAACACTTTATAACTCATTTCAGACACTCATTCAATTCCAGGCGGCCACAAAAAGAGGAAACAAGACGCGGTCAGCAAAGGAAACAGGTCACAGCCAAGTGCTATGGCGTGCACCATTTAAAGCATCCTCTTGAAGTCGGTTGGTTCATTAGCGTAAGTCAAATGTTCCCTCAACCCCACATTAGTCATGCCGAATAGACTACACTATATAGTTCCCTTCGGGTATCCAATACGTGTCTTGACCAACTAGCTTGGCAGCAAACGAAATATCATTAATTTTCCCCTTCTCCTAAACTGACCTAATCTTTGGTAACCTATTGGGAAAAATCATAATAATAACCCCAAATCCTTACCGAGAGAGCGCACAAATTACGTAGGCAGCTGATTGTGGTCGACGTGTATTTATTTAGCATGCTCGGCTTGCGAGTAACGAGAGGAGGCCCAACCATGTGGGTGGAAGGGCATCATCCATTCGAAAAGGTTCAATATAGAAAAAATCTGCCAAGTATGGTGAACAATGAACGTACCGCCAATGAACTTAATTATCCGAACCAGTTCACTGTTCGTTGGAGGCAACAGTCCCTGTCATTGCCTGGACATGTGCTCGTTGACGGACGACCACAGCAGTACTGCCGGAAGCTTCTTTATTGTATTGATATTAACCAATTGAAAATCAAATAAAGAGGCTGCTGAGTATCAGCTTGCTTTACTGGCTAACAATCGGTTGACAAATAAATCTCCGGCTCACCATACGACTTTTAATACCGCTCGCGTTTTTCCGCATGTGAAATAGTATTTTGAGTTCCCAAGCGTTGTCTTCTGCTTGTAGAAAATTTTCTGATACCAGCAATGACAAAAAATTACTAACCACGGAGACATTATAGTGCCAAGTTGGTTGTCTCGTCCCGCTTCACTCCTTGATGAATGACCACCTAATAAGTGACTCTGGAGTTCATAGTATATCCTGTTAGGTAAAGGGACCCTACTAGTCAATTTCCAAGAGCACTGTCGTCTTTAGAAGTGTCTCCTGTTCAACCATAGGCTTCACTGTCACATATGACCACAGGAAATTAACATTCAGTATGGGGTAAGAAACGTTCATCGGGACACCCATCGGTTGTCTAGTCGAACCTCATATTCGCCTGATCAACGTCTTCATGATTTATTCAGTTTGATCATTAGGGTTGCGATTTTATTAACCTTAAATAGACGCTTCCACGTAGCGCGAATGAATGGGTCAAAAATGTGCTGGTTCATATATGGCCTAACGGTAGTGCACGGTAGTTAGTCATTTTAGTACTTTCACCATTTTCGATGCTCTCCTTCATGACTAGAACTGTCAATAAAGTCAGAGATTGAACGATCAATTCATGGCTGTTTGCTCAAAACCAACTTCCCTAATTTTCCCGGAGGCATCAATCCGACAGTCATCGTCTCATCGGTCGCTGTTCAGAAAGAAGTCAGGAGACAACTGTCAGAAACCTTAGTTGTAACATTGTTTATATGTTGGTGTTACAATAAAGAATCCTCGAGTCGCCAATTGGTGTTTTGGTTTTTTCGCCCGTTATTACTAAGCGTTTCTGAGAAACTTCGAGGAACAGCGTGAGCCCGAGCGTAGCAAGAGCTGGGCATTAACGGTTTACGAGACGTGACTGACAGTTTCTGATGATGAAGTCAGTTTTCGACGGTTTCGGATGGCTGGTGACAGTTCGGATAGTCGCCGTTCATTTTTCCTGGTGCCGGTCACGTCCTCTTTGAACAAGCAATATCTGGAACGTTTTTGGAATTGGGTCAAGTTCAACGATGCCTGGGTCAAAGAAGGGACAGAGTGTCTTGGATGCAAACAGGAAAGTAAGTCATGGTGACTTGTCTGTTAATTGTAACGATGTGTCTGATGTTAAGCATGACATGGTTGATGTTACTGTTTCATCGTTCACGGATAATAGGAACATCAAACTCCCTAAATTTGAACCACGATGTTTTGATGGAAACCCGGCTGATTATTTACAATTTGTAAAGGAGTCTAAGATCACGCTGAGTAGTTTTAAATTAAATGATGAAATGGAGTTAATGTATTCGTTGAGCTATTGCACTGGAGTTGCTTCAAGAGCTATACAGTGCTGTAAGTTCATGCCCCTTAACGAAGGATACTCTCAGGCTATTAGTATACTGCGTCAAATGTTTTGAAGACCATCGATGATTGTAAGAAAAGTATTCGAGGCTGTTAAAGGTGATGGTAGTCAATTAGGAGATGACTATAAGGCACTCACTGAGTTTTTGGATAATCTGATGACTTACAAGAATGCATTGATTTCGATGAATCACATGAGTGACCTCAACTCGAGTTTTATACTAGAAGTAATAGCAAGACGTCTACCTACTCGACTGCAAAGGAAGTGGGTGAAGATAAGCTCCCGTATGGAGGATGATGTTATCGAGCCAAAGTTTGATGATATCCTGAAACTAGTAAAAGATAGTGTCAATCTATCTATGAGCAAGTTCGCCAGTATATTGAACCTCACCCCTAGAATAGAGCAGTCTGAGAGCAAACCGCACTCATTGATGACGAAAGGGCCTCAGACAGGTGGATATCGAGGAGGCTCCATGATGTCTCGTAATGCATATAGACCTAGTGAGTGTAAGAGGTTTTGTAGTACAACCTCAAAAGACAAGTGTCAATCACGTCTCATAAACCGTTAATGCCCAGCTCTTGCTACGCTCGGGCCCACGCTGTTCCTTTGAGTTTTCAGAAACGCTTAGTTATAACGGACGCAAAAACCAAAACACCGATCTGCCGAGTGATATTTGTTTATTGTTACACCAACATATAAAAGGAATAAGCGAACTAAGGTTTCTGACGATGTTTCACTCTTCTTTCTGAACAGCGACCGATGAGACGATGACTGCCGTATTGATGCCTCCGCGAAAATTGGGGAAGTTGATTTTGAGCAAACAACCATGAATTGATCGTTCAATCTTCAACTCCATTGACACTCCCCGGCAAAATACGGATCCAACCCTTTTTCCCTTCACGACCAATGCACGTCGACTTGGATGCCATTGCGAGAACCTGGGTCACACGGACAGAGCTGAAATGGAAAACAAACAGAAAAGCCAACACACCACAAGCATACCCACAGCACAATCTCACACATCAATGACGACCTGCGCCTCCAGACAGAGACCTCCTCTTGACATCTTGCAACACAATCGCCACTTACTAGAATGACTCTTGCAGAATGCAACGTGACAAAAGCACCAACACATGATACTCTACGCACATCCTCTTATCTACTCACTACCAATTACCACTGCAATCGCTTGTCACTCATTCTGCCTCAGTTCTAATAGCGGTGACGCATGCGAGCCTCAGTCGTCTACACTCTCGCTCCCCGGCGTGTCGGACCGCAGCTAACAATTATCTCCGTGTGCATGTCATTCTCAGCAATAGCCTAGCCTCCCCGGCGTATACGACCCATCTGCTGTCCTTAACATCAACCAATTCATTCATGGATGTAGAAGACTCGAAACAACTTCA